TGAACCCCACAGTGTTACTGACCCTGACCAGTTGTGTCACAGCTACGTGAGGTGACAAATCCTGTATCTCTGCTGGTGGTGTGAGGGTGCAGGGCACTTCCCTCATCCAGGAGGAAGAAGGGGTACTTCTTGCAGTGGCTCTGAACTGCCCAGCTTCACAGCAGCAAGCCCCCGAATTCTGTGTGCCTGAATTCCCACCCTGCCATGGTGCAAGGCTGATTGCTCATGGAGATGCGTGCTGTTACCAGCTCTTGGGACACACTGTTCCAGAGCAGAAAGGTTTTACTGGGATCCTCATCACCCAGTGACCAGCTTCGATCTGTCAGTATTTTAGGGCTGACTGGGAGATAGTTTTAGAAAAATTGTTGATTTCTTGCTGATTGAGAAGGCTCCAGAACAAAGAGGCTTCAGGGAAAGTGAAAGGGCAGCAATTTGTCAGACAGACCTTGCCTAGAAAAGAGCAGTCCAGCATGTTTGTCACTTTGAGCTACCAGTTACCCGACTGACAGTAAGGAGGTGGGTACCCACTTTGGAGACTTCCCTGCATTCTTATCCCATGACGGTTCATCCCTGTTGCTGACAGGGCTTTTGTCCTCGTAACCATAACCCAAAACCCAGGATGTGAGACACGACGTAACGTATGACATAGGCACACGATGGTGTTTGCATTTCACAGTCTGTCGGTGTGAACTGGTGACCTACACAGGGGCTTTGATTAAGCCACGGGCGCATAATGCCGTAGGCTTGGAGAAGTCTAAGGAGTCTCTGTTGGACTTCTCTGGTAGTAGAAGGGAAAGATGCAAAATAGGTGAAATTGAGAAGGGCCCCAGCTGGGTTGTGTTCTCACGGGAGCAGGACTCCAGGCTAAAAGAGGATCCCAGGCACGAGAGGCGCGTAGGGAGTGCGCTCCCCAAGGGCAGCAGGGTTATCCAAAGGGAGACCAGGCACCTTCCAGGCGGTTCCTGAGCTATTTGGTAGCCACAGAGATCAAGGGGGACCACGTTCTGATGGCAGTGACTGGATGGCTGAGTGAAGTGCAGGGTGGAGGGGTCTACAGGTGGGTTTATGTTGATGGGTTCAATCCGTGAGCCAGAATAGCAGCTTCCTCCCCTCTGGGCTCTTTAAGGGCTTGGAGTTGGCCTTTGCACAGAGGTCTTTGGTCTCTGACTGGTAGACTCCCACAACCTCAGTGGGGAAGGGAGGCTGGCAGTTTATTGTTAAATTGGGAATGAGCAAGGATCCAGACAGCCGTGCTCCGCATCGCGGGTCAGCAGAAGAGTCAGAGCTGTCTATGGTTGTTATCAAAAGGCGGATGAAAGAGTCACAGATGGTGGAGGGGCTTCACTTGGTGGTCATGTCCATGCATTGTCGTGGTGCTAGAGGAGGGTGCTAGGGAGGCAGCAGTGTTGGGGGAAAAAAACAAACACTTAAAAACTGTAGAGTATTTGGTAGGACTGGGGAGAAAATGAAAGCAGCTCTCAGGTGAATGAGTATGGATTTTTTTTTAAGAAAAGTCGCCTGCCAGAGGTGACTCCAAACGTCGCAGTGTGACACTGCACCTGGACGCGTGGGTCACGCTTCTCTGTGTAAGGGGCTGGTGTCTTTAGGAGCTGGGTCTCTTTCACTGCCCTGCGCTGTGATGCTGTGTGTGCAAAAAACAAATTTGCTGGTAATGGGGAAGACAACGTTTTTCAGGCAGCCTGCAGGGGCAGCAGCAGCCCACCTGCAGAATGCAAGTCAGAGGGTAACCTTGGATTCCTTCGGTCATTGTCTGCTTCCTAGTCTTGTTTGAAAGGACTGAATCTTCCTAAAGACGTGGCTTCCCCACTGACTTTTCAGTGACAACTAACACTTCTGTTCCTGGAGAGTTATACACAAAACAGTAAAGACATTTTGGGGAGTTTAAACTGATGCCCCTTGGCTGATTTCAGTGGAGCCCTACCTGTATTCACCAGGTGTGGCTCAGCAGGTCTTCCTGAGAAGGGCTAATGCAGAAGTCCTGTGAAACAGGAAAATATGTACTCTGCAAGCAAAGTGGGAGGAAGGGGACTGGATTGTAAAGGATTTTTGGAGCAGGATTAACCCCTAGATAACCACCAGGTCGCGTTCCCAAGAGCCAGTCCTGGTCCAGATGAAATGAGTTGGTTTTGGCTGTGAGAAAAGCAGCTTCTATATCAAAGAACTGCTGTCAAATCCAGCTGCTTCTGGAGTTGACCCTTCATCAGGAGCAGCTAAAGCCTAGGACAGATGCAGAGAAATGATGGTGCAGCAGAAGCAGATGCACAGCTGAGCTGTGCCATGAAACTGGCATGTAGCTCTCCATGTTCTTCTGCAGAAAAGATGCGTTGGTGCCCCAGGGCTACCGGACAGCACTGCATTGCCTTGCAATTTTTTAATGTCAAATAGGTACAGATCTCGGAATGACTCATCTAAAGGAATCAACAAAGAGATTCCTGTTGATGCCAGCCGGCTGGTAATGCAAAGTTCAGCCAGATGGTCCTTCTCTGTTGCACCTAGAATGAAGCTGGTCTGCGGACTGACCGGCCAGGGCCAGCGCTACCTCGGGTAGCTTGGCCTCATGCAGCTTCTCTGCAGTATAATCAAACCCTTCCACTTGTAAGAATGCAGCAGTGGCCTAAAATACCTCCTAATTCCTTTGCTAAGAAGTCAGGCATGCCTGCCTTGGTGTAAGGCAAGCTGTGGCAGGCTGAGTGTCATCCAGGTGAAGTTACAGCCGAGAGCGAGGCTTATCACCTGTCAGTGAACGTGGGGAAGGTCGATCCTTTTTTTTCTGGGAGACCAGCAGCAACTGCACAGGCCTCTCTCCACAGTAGTTCTGTACTTGCCACTTCTACAGCCCCAGATCTTCCTCTTCAGAATATGGGAAATACTTGAGCTCTTCATCACTGACGTTGTGTTTAATGTTCACCGTTCACTAGGTGAAGTAGCCTAGTTGCTGTCAGGAAATATTTTTGTCTGGCTGAGGATCCCCGTCCTTCCCCGTCATCTGTTCTCATTACTGTCATAGCAGTTTCCAGAAAACACGTTGAAGTGCCTGCTCAGGAGTTGTTACCTTTCAGCAGTCACCTCTGGTCGCTCTGTCTTGCCGTGGGTCTCACTGGTCTGTCATCTCTGCAGCTCTCAGTCTCACGATGGTGCTGTGCAGCTTTATTAAGGGAAGTGCAATTCTGGACTGGCCGAAAGCCTCATTTTCTTGCCTGAGGAAGCCATGACTTTGTACTTCTGTAGCTGTTAACACCTGGAGCCAAATTTGCTGGTTTTGGAAACTGTGGTCTGCTAAGAAGCTAGACCTCTCCTCTTCTATTCTGGAGCAGAAAACGGACGTTGAGAAAGCCAGAGCCAAAGCAGAGATCTGACAGACCTGTACTTGGTGCCTCTGCTCTACTTGAAGTTCCGTTACACACATGCTCCCTAACAGTGTGTAATGACTGCAGTGATGTAAATCCCAGCGCAGGCTTTGAGGTGTGGTAGGTCAGATGGCTGTGTGGCACGGAGTAGGGAGGTGGGGGCAGGGTAAAGCTTTTAATGCTAGCTTGGCCTGTGAAAGGAAGGGAGGAAGGTCACCTCCCTCTGCACACCTTGCGCTCTCTGCTTCTCACCATTACCTGCACCCGTAGAGCGGAGGGGTCCAGATCAGTCCCCTGGGGTGGCTTCAGCTCTTCAGCTCCTGCTGGCAGACTGGCACTATTGCCAGCCAGTGTGGGCAGGTCCAGGGCAAGGCCTGGAGGGTGCAGCACCTCGTGGATGTCCCATACGGTGATCAGACTTGCATCTGGTTTGTGAGCACACAGCTGGCTGTCACTGTGGCTGAAACAACAGCTCCCAGGTCGTTACGGCAAGTGTCCTGCCAACAGTGCTGCTGTGTCACACTGGTGTTAGTGACCGATTGTTCCCTTGGCTTGTTCTTCCTGGATTATTCATGCTGGATGGAACACGTGCCTACAAGTATTGTAGCCTCAGCGCTGCCCTTTTTAAGAGGCTAAATTCAGGCAACTCTGCCAGGAAACAGTTAATTGCATCTACCTATAAAGAGGAATCTCATGTCTACTCTTGATGGAACCAGACCTATATAAACTAATAAGAGATTTAATTAGCCTTAACGAAATACAGTGTGAAATGTAATCAGCTGCGTCCCAACTTAATAGAAAGCCCTGTAATTGGTTAAGTGCTGCATTAGGATTAGGTCATACCCAAGGAAGGCTGCCACAGCTCTTTCACAAAAAGAGCAGCTTAAGGGCAATGAGGAAAGGAGGAGGTGACAGAACTTAAAAAGAAAACCAAACAGACAAAAAAAACAACCCCAAAACCCCCTCATTTGTGGGGCTGGGTTGGCAGCAATTCCATGACTGTTGCATACAGAAAAGCAGTAACTCCTCCAAGGACAATATACAAAGCTCTAACAAACAGTCTGGAGTTGTAGCCACATGTTCACTCTGTCAGCTCCCATTAACCAATTCTCAAGTGAATAAATAACTGCTGGAGAGACTTGGTTACTTAATTTGGAAAGCGTAGCCTTCAGTAGCATCAGGGCACTTGTAGCTTATGCCTGTGTTGAAATCACAGTGGTATTTTCACCTTCAATCGGTTACATGTTCTTGCTGTTACCTTGGTTCAGGCTCTGAGGCAAGTGGGAAACAAAGCTGATGTTTGACAACATTCCTAAAAATTGCTTATGATACAGCTTTCCCTCCCCGTTAAAAAGCCTTGAAATACAAATTATGATGGCATTCACCAGGTTTGCCAGCCAGTAAGTCACGACTGCTGCCACCTTGGCTGCAGAAAGAGGAAAGGAAGGGACTGGAACCTAAATGTTTAGTGTGTCTACAGATGTGTGTGCCACGTAACAGCGTGAAAGACAAAACTGCTTCCTTAATGTTAGGACTGTAATTAGGAATTTAATACAAAAAGTGAAAAAATTAAAATACTGTGTCAGGAGGTGTCTCCTGCAGCAGTGAAATGAACACATTACAAGGGAAGTCTGTGTTAATTTGCATGTATTGACAAAAGTGCCACAAAAATTTGAAATTCTATTTGTCCCTTTGCAAATTGATAAAAAAGCATGATACAGAAATCTATCCATACATAGCATAAGACTTTTACAGGTAAGACATTTGTACATCCATTTAACCTCAGGTGATCCACTCATTCAGCCTTGACCACTCAGGAAAATTCTGATTTTTCTACTTTCCATTTTCAGCACTGAACATTCGCTCCTAGAAAGAGAGACGTAAGCAAAGCTGAGTAAGAGTTTGGGAACTGTGCTTTAGCAGTGCAGGCTTAAGGCACTAGTAAGTAGTTGTCAGCCAACAGGAACAAGTGCCTACGTTGGGTACACCTGGTGTCTACTTTTCCCCCCCCAAAAGTCACAGTTCAATTGATCCCATTTGAAAGACTCTCTGTAAACTGACAGGAGACTTTCACCTGGCCTGGCTACACTCAGCGAATCGGTTCTTGGTGCCTCCCAGTGCCAAGTACAAGCATGATTGATTTCAGCTTGCTACCTGAAGATTATTTACATGCATTGTACCCCTGCTGACAGTTCAGAATTAGACTTGAGGGACTTTTTGCTTTGACAGCAGCATTATCTTGATCAGCTGCCAGTCTGAGCACTGCCTTGGGCCTCCAGCAGCAGGTGTGGCTGTAGGCATCTGCCATGAATTCTTTCGTGAGCTGCAGTGAGGTTTACCAAGTTCACTCCGTTTCGGTGGCCAGTCTGCTAGCTGCCTGCCCCACACAACGGGTACCGCCTGCACCAAAACCTGCTCAGACTTGCTTGCAGGTTCCTAATCCGGAGCCACCCCACAAGGAACTGTGCCATAGCTGCACTGCATGAGCGGTGGCAAGAGGCAGCGTGATGTAACCCCTACCTTTAACATCCTCTCCAGCTTAATTGCATCTGCAGCAAATTTTCTGATTCCGTCGGATAATTTCTCCACAGCCATTTGGTCTTCGTTATGGCGCCAGCGGAATGCCTTCTCATCCAGGTGGATCTTCTCAAGCTCACATGCCTGAGCTGTGCAAGGGGAATTCAAAAAGAGACAAGCCATAATGTCAGATTATTATCAAAATCCACAGGCTTCCTAAACCAGTCTCAAGATTCTGTCTCCAGCTGTTAAAAAATTCCAAACCCCACTTTCAACATCACTTGCTACAGGAGCACACTTTGGGATGCGAGAGTGAAACCGCTCCTGATCTGGCTTGGGGTAGCCCAGAGAATCAGTTTCTCTTAAAAATACAACGTCTGTGTGTGTGTGTGCGCCATTATCTTGTATCTGCTTCCGAATGGTACGGTACTTTGAGGCCTATTATCAGGAATTATGCAACAGTCCTACAGCAGTGAGACATTCTAAGCAAATATGCTGAACAATTGGGTCTTTGATTCTTTGGCAGCACCTAACAAAAGCTCACTTGATAACACGCCTGCAAGCCAGCTAGCACCCTGTAAGCAGCAACCCATGACTACAGCTGTGCACAAATCTCATCTTCCGAGTTGCAAAGCAGCATTTTAATAAGGCTTCAGAAAAGCAAGGAGTGGTGCAATGGGAACATGCATTCAAAACCATCGTGGCGCAGGATCACTAGATTGCTTATTCTGGCATACGACTGATTTCTAGTTTCTGGAGGGAAAGCGCCCCTTTGGGCGTGTCTAGAGCTAACTGCATCGCTGACGCAATACTAACATAAAATTAAACCAGGTTTGGCATCTTTGCTAATATTCAGTAAAATTTCATGCTGAGCATACAAAGTTCCTCCTTCTGCTCTCCCTGTCCTTTTAGGAGAGGGTGCCCAGTATTTAAGCACACTCAAACCCCATTGTAGTCCTGGCTAGTGGCGTTGTGGCTAGTGTACTCTGTGGGACCCAAGACCCTAAAGAAGTCAGCGCGTGCAGCAGTACTGCTGTAATGAGGCTCCAGTAGTTCCTTCCGCGAGGGGTCAAGACTTGCCCTTAGAGCAGGGTGGAAGCCAGCACCACAGAGCTGACTGGAACCACACCCCCTTAACGTTCAAGAAAGGGAGCCTGAGCGAGCCCATGTTACACAGAAGCGGACTGCTGTGGACTTACCCTCTTTTACACTGAGCGTGGGAGTTAACTTGACGTACTCTTTGCTGAGCTCTGCCAAGAGCTTGGGTGAAATGGTGAGATAGTCACAGCCTGTAAGCGCTTTTATTTCTCCTGTATTTCGAAACGAAGCGCCCATCACGATAGTTTTGTAGCCAAACTTTTTGTAGTAGTTATAGATCTTGGTGACACTCTTCACTCCTAAAAAGGAGAAATTGGCAACTTTCAGAATAATTCATTTGAAGTAGAAACAATTATGTAGAACGTGCTCAAAACCAATGTGTTTTTTTTTTTTTTCCACAAGATGATTTATATGAGTAAACTGCATTTGAATAAGTAGCTGTTGTATTTTTAATGAGAGGTTAAAAGGAAAGCTTACCTGGATCCTCTGAAGGCTCATAGGTTTTCTTATCTCCATTTGCAACATACCAATCCAGGATACGTCCTACGAAGGGGGAGATCAGAGTAACTCCAGCTTCGGCACAGGCAACAGCCTGAGCAAAGGAGAACAGCAAGGTCATGTTGCAGTGAATCCCGTACTCTGCCTCCAGAACCCTGCAGACACAGGCTGGCTTAAAACAGCAGTTTGCTCCCTACTGAACTGGTATTACAGTAACACGCTAGTAGCTTAAAACTACGGAATTTCTTGAGTTCTGTCAGGAATGTGGGGCAGTTTATCAGCTTTAAAGTTTCAACAAATGTTTTGCGCTGCCAGACTCTGCTTTATTTAATGCTGTTCCTTGAACCAAACGCAGACAACTTCGCGTGTTATTGCAGGAAACTCCGTTGTGGCCTGGCCCTTGTGTGAACAAACTTTTCCTACTTCAACAGAAAGCTGTAGCAGAGCACCGTGCTTGCTAGCTGGAGCCCTAGTAACAGATTTCCTGGTGCTTTCAAAACAATTCTTTATTTTAAGTGCAGAACGTGTTAGTCAGGTGGCTGTGAACAGGCAGAAGCACGCTCTGAGTCAGCACACCAGGTACGGAAATACTTACTTGCCAGCCTGGATTCCTTCCCATGTTGAAGAGAGCTTTATGAGGATGCGATCTTTACCAATTCCTGCTTCCTTATAAAGGTCAATGAGGCGCCTGGCCCTTTGAATCATTCCTTCCTTATCAAAGGACAACCTTTGAAACAAGAGCAGGACTGCTTAAAACTGACTTTTTTTTAAAAAATGCTCCCCCCTCCCACCCCCATTAAAAAACAGAGTCCGTTTTAGCAGCATTTATATGCCAGTAGCAGGTTTTTGCTCTCGGAGATACTTCCTGGATTGAGAGCCCCTCATGGGGTGTACGACAGCGCTGCTACGCTTTGCTTCAGAGGATCCAGAGCTCATGACAGCTTTTCTTGCGAAAGTTACAGACTAAACTGTGCCTCCGGTCTTTCATAGTGACTTGGGAGAGCAGCTTAACGGACAAATCTGATGCAAGTCTTGAAATAAACTGTTAAGACAGATCTCTTGGTAAACTGAGAAGACATTATCACACAGAATAGCAAAACTAAGTATACTGGAAGCACGAGGCTTCCCTTGCTTAAGGAAGAACTGGAACGTCACAAAAATCCTAGCTCAGCATTACTTGTCATAAGGTTTTGTCACCAAGTTATAATCAAGCAAACTAGGTAAAATCCATTCTCTAATTAAACAAATATTAACAGTATAAACTCTTGCTAGTCTTATAACAGCGAGCTGTCTAGTCAAGAACATCTTTCTCCAACTCACATCGTGTCTCTTTTTGTATGTACAAATATCCAGGGTAACCCAGAGGAAAAAGAGCCAACCTTGCATCTACTTCTGTGGACACACGGCCAGGTATCCTCTTCAGTATTTCAGCTCCAAATAATACAAAAAGTTTGTCAGAAGCATTTTTGATCTGCTCCTCTTCTGACCTGAAAACCACGAAGCGCAAAATCATTTCTATGGGGAGAGGGGAAGAAGAAAAAAAAGCCCATTTGCACCTTGCCATGGATTTGAAGATGAAATTTCACAGCCCAGCTAACATTGAATTCCACAACTCAAATCACCACTTCTGCTCTGCTCCACGTTTATGTCCTGCCCTCTGGGCAGCACCAGCAGTGTCGGCCTTCGGACACTTCCCTAGAACACAGTCGGCTCAAGAGTGTTTTCCTGAGCAGTCCTAGAAGGCAGCGTGTGAACTGGTAAATGGGGAGGCACTTCAAAGCACATCGGAAATGAGCGTTGGAAGTTTTTCTTTAAGGCTTGAGGCTTTTTGGGGCAGGAGATACACCCATGAGTACAGGAGGGGAAAGCACCAGTATATTGCTGGTAGTACTAACCACTGTTTGTATAAATAAGCATCTTAAGTACAGATCTACTGAGATAAAAAACCCTCTTTGCTTACCCGCCAAGTTTTTTCCCATAGGCAACAGCATCATCCACGAGCTCCTGGTAAGCTGGCATCTGAGCAGCAGCTAGGATCAGGGACGGGTTTGTGGTGGCATCCAGGGGCTTGTACTCCTCAATTGCTAGGGCAATAAAAACGGCCTGTTCAGAACAATCGGCAAGCCTGAGCCACGGGAAGGATTTTGCTCCAACAGGGGAGAACGCAAACCCTTACGGCTGGAGGATAGCGGCGCTGGTGGCAGCGCGGAGTCGCGCACAGTGGGGGTTAAATCCCGCGGCAGGAGCAGGACAGGGTGAGCAGCAGCGCAGTGAGAGGGTACAGCGAAGGTCACTCACTGCTGTAGACGCTGCCCAAAAGAGAGAAACTTGTAGCTGTGGCAGATGAAGAGAAGTGGGACTAATTTTCAGCTTCTATCTGTCCACATTGTATTTGCTGGCATAGCTGAGTTTCAGGAATCCCAAGAGGATCTTTCCTCCCTTCTGGCAGTGAGGTGTTGGGGGTTTTATCTGTCTACAGCTCCTGGCACTAGGAAGAGGAGAACTCCTCTGTTCGGCTCTAGTGACTTTTTCTACTGCATTTTAAAACTCTTTCAAGTGGTTGCAGACCATTTCTTAGTCTCTGCTCTTGTCATTTCCTTGTACTCCCAGGCTTCCTTCCTGACAGGAGATAGTTGAACCTTTGGCTTACCTCAAGCCCTGGACTCCGCCTATTTCAGGTGATGCCCCTTGTTTACCAGAGCAGTAATGACAATGACAACGCACTGGCTGGCCCTGAGCACAGCTGAGCTGCCTGGCACGCAGAGCCTGACTCAGCAAGCGGGGGAGAGCCTCTGCAGGCCCTTCAGTGAGTTCTGCTTACAAACTCCCTTGTTGACACAGCTCAATGTCAAAACCGACAAAATAGTTATTACCAGCTCGTTCCTCAGCGTTTTTGCACAGGGATGAAAACTCAAGCGAGTGCAACTTTATTTTTCCAGTCATGGAAGAAAACAAGTATTGTTTTTCCGTAGCTCCCTCCTAGGCAATGACCATGATCCTGGCACAAGTCCGTTCCGTACAAACAGGTCCTTCAAACCGCGCTTCAGCTCACAGCGATGCCGCTTAGAATAACGCGGTGCACCGAGGGAACTCGGTGCTGAAGCATACGCACCATTTTAGAGAAGTGCATTTTGACTGACTTTATTCTTCCCAGCCTTGCAGCGTTGAAGGCTGTTATGGGTGTCTGGACACAGGCACGAGTAACCTGTCAGCCTGTCACCCAGCTTTCCTCACCCGGCCTCCCTTCAGGCCTGTCAGAAAGCAGTCAGCAGCTTTCAGTGGCGGGTCTGTGACCGTTGTGCCACCTTCTGTCATTGCGAGCACAAAGCTGGGCAGAAGAGGAAGCGCATACTGGTCCGGCTTCGTGCAGAAGCCAAACCGGTGCCGCTACTGGCGAAGCCACCGCCACTCGCTGCAGGTCCTTGCTCCAGGAGCCGTACAAACCAGCATCTTTCCTACCCGGCGCCGTACCGACACATTTATCTAAAAACTGGGAACTGGAGCTCAAAACCACCGCGCCTCAACCAGCAGCAGCGTGTGCCTTGAGCAGGGACGGTGTCAGGCGGCGACTGCAGCCTTGTTCGGGCTGTAGAAAAGACCCGCCGGTGACAACGGCAGCCAGAGATCAAAACTGCTCCAAGGAGCTTGCTAAAACTTCCCAGCGGGCAGAGCTCGGCCTCCTTGCTGCCACCCCCTCGGCCATCACCAGGATTTGGGGTTGTTTTTTTCCATTATGCTTTTCTGAAACCAGGGTAGACAGCAGCAAGTTTTCAGCTCGTGCAATTTCAGCGCACGCGGGGCTTTAGCCGGGTTTGTTGCTACTCAAAGCTTTGCCAGCCTGGCACGGCTGAAGGTACCGAATCGCTTGGGTTTCCAAGCTGCATCGATGCTCCCAACCTTTTGTGGTACCGGGGTGGTCTCCTGTCAGAGGGACTCTTAAACGTCACCGTTTCTCCGCAACGTTTCATGCGGCCCGACACGTGAAATCGAGCGATCCAAAGCGTTTCACAGACATTCGTTCCCTACGGTGAGCGCACGTGCTAACGACACACGCGGCGTCGCGAGGCGCGTGTCCGAGCTGTGGCTGCCTCTCCGCGTTCTTAACCTTAAATTTACTAATATAAGGCACTTGATAGTTGCCATTTAGGATTGTTTATTCATCACCCACAGGATTAGGTAAGCAGCAGATTACTGCAGGGACGGCAGGACAGGATTCAAGAGTTGCTCCACACAACCCAGAGACGCTCGGGGAGGGATTTGTCAGTTCTGATGTACCGGGAAAGCTGCACACCCGTGCAGGCGCTCCGGCAGTGCCCGCTTTGGAACAAGTGGCTTCATCATCGAATGCCACCTCGCTTCCTCAGCGAGGGGAGCACTCGCTCGTTCTCAGGAGAGGAAAACGAAAGCGCTCTTGCATTATTTTCTGTCCTTCAGAACCGCTTTGCTTCCGCAAAAAAAACCCAACAAACAACCCCAAAAATGAAACCTCCACTGGTTACTGGAAAAACCAACTTTGTTGGCCCCACAGAGCTCATCGTGCCGAGTCCGGCACTTACCAGTACCAGCACCTGGCGCTGACCATTGCGTCCAGCGTGGGTCAAACTGGGGAAAATAATCCCTGGGGGCTCTGAGGAGCGTCTGCCCGGGCTGGATCAGCCCTGCGAGCTGCGGGAGTCACCGTAGCGGAACCCCGGCGGGCAGAGCGCTGCGGGCCGCGCTCCTCGGCCTGGCTTGGCGTTCGGTGGAGCGGGAACCGCT